GTTAACAAAGTAAAACATTTCTATTACAAAATATTATATTTTTTTAAATATAGTTTTAATACATTTTTGAAATCTTGAATTTGATGTTAAATTTTTCTTGCCTTCTCTTTAGTGAATAATAATCGTCAAACTCCAGCCTTAAGTTTTCTAAGACGTGTGACATTTAAATACGTTTAGAAAACAAAATGCTTAAATTAAGACCTGATGCAGTTTAATTGGATTTTATGTTCGTTAAGGCAATTTTACAGGGTCCTCCAAGGAACTGACTTTTCTTGTAAGCTTTCTTTCAAGTGTAGACAATGTGTTGATTCATTTTCTGAGCCTTTGCATATAATTATAAGACCACAGACATGCAACCTGTTGTGTATAAGTGCTCTATCAATTTTATTTTAAACATTTACAATTCCTCCGGCATTGAATCAATTGCAGAAAGTCTTTCAAACTGATTTTTTTTTCCCCCCTCTTTTTAAACATTTTGCAAACCGAATTCTGTAGCTGGGCGAGGTTTTATAACAGCCTTTGATTTCATGGCAAATCCATGCTTCGGAATCAAGACAGAAGATGTTTGTTTTTTTAAATAATTTAGCAGATTTTGTTTTTAAAAGAACAAAATAAACTTGGTATTCAATACAATAAAAGTGCTTTTTATTATTCACATTGTCATATTTTGTTTTTTTGTTTCATTTTGATTTTTCTATTAAGGTCTTTTGGATTTTTTTTCTAGTTACAATGTTAATTTTCGCATTTAATTCTTTAAAAATAAAATCATGCATTTAAGGCGAATCGGTTTCATGCAGATTTTTTTTTAAATTGTTTTTGATTCTTATGCGCTGGGAATATTTCGGAAGTAGCAATTTATTTATGGTGTCAGATCATTTTGTCTACAACTTCACAAGAAAAAAATTGAATGTAGTTTATTGAGGTTTATTTATAAGTTTTGCCGATAGCGGCAGACGTGACGGAGGAATCTTGTTAGCGGTATATTTGAAATTCTGCGTCAGTTCTGGCGTTTATTTTATTTTAGCGGCGGGAATGGTCGGACTGTTCTTGCATAGTTCATTCTGAAAAGACCTCGGTGCTATCGCTTTGGAGTTTGTCTCCTGCTGTGGAAAAGTATTCGATGATTTATTTGGCTGCTTGTTCGATTGCTGTCTGCTGCTTCTCTTTCTCCTGCTTTCAACGCGGATGTCAGCTCTTATTACTCGATATTGATCCCTTTGCAAAGTGAGAAGTGAACTAAAATTAATGTCAATCCCACTGGCCGGATCAATAGCCGGAGTTATTTTAATCTGGATTTGCACGGGGTGTTAAATTAAAAAAAATCAGCATACTCGCGGGATCATCTGTGTAAGGTCGTTGGACCGCCGGCTGGCTCGTGTCGCCCGAGCCATTCCATGTTCCGTTCGGGCGTGATTATCCGGCTAATCCATATTTTTTTAATTAAGAAGCTCTGTTAGTTTTCTTGTTTAGGGTCCTGTATTTAAGGAGATGACATCTTGACATTGCCAGTGCATTAACTATAGATTTCCATAAGGTTTGCGGTTTGCAAGGCTAGCATCCTCTCAATCTTGTGAGGCTGCAGCACATTGCACAGGGTAAGACACGACGCTGGGGAGAGAGAGAGAGCTCGTGAGCATCGCAAGTGCCTGTTAATTTGTTCCTCGCCTTTTGTGATGCTGCTCTTTTGATTTTTTTTGAATCGGGGCGAAGGGATCTGCTGTGTGAAATCTCACCGGGGGCCCTTTCAGGCGCCAGAAGGAGCCACATCACAGCACGGTGGCACGACCCGGGCAAAAGCGTTTACACTTCCTTCTCTTTATATACATATCCCTGCTGGTTTGATGTCTTTTCCCCGCAAACGTAAAAGTATCCGTATTTGTCTTTTTTACTCCCGAAGGGAAAAACGCTCATTTCCATATAACCGATAATCAAAAACATTTTTATGGGTTCAGATTAATATGGATTGACGCCGTTATATAAAGTACAAACAGAGAATCCAAATTTGTATTTCAAATGATATTATCTTGAAGCAATTCTGCGCTCTCAGAAATTGTATATTCCATATATACACATTCGGCATATTTTCCCTTACACTTACACAGCTACATAGTATTTGAGGTTGAAAAAAAAGACACAGGTCCATCAAGTTCAACCTTTGTGTGTCCTTAACCTGCTCCAGCCCGTCCAAAATCCCCCGAGCCGTCCCAGTTGTCTGGAAAGAAACCTGTGTGTGTGTGTGTTGTGCCTGCGTGTATACTTCATTGAATAAAACACAAAATACCCCAAAGGGAGGCAAATTGGAAACGGTCAAATCGGGCTTTACCCGGGCAATGAAACTTATTTGCCACTGGAAAAAGCAACCTAAAAAAAAATTGATAGCCGCAGAATAAAAAAGATGGCCGGTGGAAGAAGACGAGGACGATTGGAAGATGCATCCCGTTTAGCTTAATATACCAGATGTGATAATGCTGAGATATGCAACGGGTCGGTATATTATCCGGTGTGTCCTCAACCTGCTCCGGCCTGCCCGAAATCCCCCGAGCCGTCCCAGTTGTCTGGAAAGAAATGTCTCATCCCAGTCTCGG